AACAAACCGTACCCTGCACGGGTCCACACAGCAGCTGTTTTGAGATGGATTTTTATATGTGAACCTGAGAACTAACGATGCAGTGTCCAGGGAGGGGAAATACGTGTTATTTGACTTTTCCCGGGGAGACAGGAATGTCTGTTCACCCAGGTAGGGCACTGGCAGCAGACCAAAGACATGATTCTTCCCAGGTCTGGCTTAGTGAGCCGAGAGTTTACTGGGATTCGAGGAGCATGGGTGACTCAAAGGTAGCTATGTCCCCAAAACATCCATCTCAACTCTGCATCTCTGGGGTCTTCTGCACAGCTCACAGGCAGATGGCCTCCTGAAGAGTCTCCATAGGAGGTGTTTGCTGCTTCTGTCACGAGGGAGGGGCCTGGTGCAGCTGTTAAGTGAGCCTTCTAAGTTTCGTTTCCTTCCTGAATCCTGTGAGACTCTTTTCCTTCTCCCCTCCAGAAGAAAAGGTTTCAATTTGAGGAAATAGTTATGTAAAGTGAGATTTAAAAAAAAATCCCACGTATATGTGCATGGCCTGCCTGCAAGTATACAAGCATGTGTGTGAGCATGTGCATGCGTGTGTGTGTGTGTGTGTGTGTGTGTGTGTGTGTGTGTGTGCATGTGTGCATACAAGTGTGTGTGCAAGGGTGTATAAGTATGTACAGGTGTGGATGTACAAGTGTGTGTGTGTGTGTGTGTGTGTGTGTGTGTGTGTGTGTGTGCGCGCGCCATTGGAGGCCTAAGGTTGATGCCATCTGTCTTCCTGAGTCACTGTATTTATTTAGTTTCTTGCTTAACTAGGAGCTTCTTGCTTTGAGTAGCCTAGCTAGCCAGCTTGCTTCGGGACCCTGTCTCTGCCTCCAGAGGACAGGAATTACAGGTGGCCCCACGCCTGCCCAGCTTTCCTGTGGGTTCTGGGGATCTGAACTCCAGTCCTCCCGCTTGTATGGCAAGTGCCTTGTCACTGCACTGAGCCATCACCTCAGCTCAGAACAGGAAAGCCAAATGAGAAAACAAACCCCTCTAGACATAGCTGAGGAAACGCCTGCAGCCCACAGGCCTCACAGCCAGCCTGAGGAGGACCTGCAATGCAGCAGCTAACGGACAAGGGACAGTGAGCAGATTTCATGCTGAGATGCCTCACACGCAAAGCTGGTCGCCAGCAGAAACCATGAGGAACTTAGAGCGGGAGCCACGGTGAGCCACGGTGAGAACGGTGCCCCTTGTCACCCTTGAGGGTACCCGAGAATAGAAGGACAAGACGCCAAGCACAGCCGGTAGAGAGCAGAGCCCCACACAGTGCAGGAGTGCTGCCCTGGGAAGCTCCCTCTGACTAACAGCTCGGTGGCTTGTGATCAAGTCACCCTGGCTTCCCTGGGACACATCATCATTCCTCACTGGAGAGCATGCAGTTGACGTACAAAAACAAAATTGAAAAGGAGAAAAAAACCACAATGTTTTGAGTAATCTGATTTTGTTTTGGGCTGTGTTCACAGGATTTCTTGGACTCTGGGCTGGGCACCTTTGCATATAAACCCAGGAGTCAATGATACAGAAGTTCCAGAAAGAAGTAAAAAGAAAACATGAGATTAGCAATCCAGCCAAGCTGCTCCTAGATATTTCCCCAGACCCAAGAGAAAGAATTTCAGGAGTCTGCAAAGACTTGTGTGGGTGTCTCCAGCAACCTTTCGTAACAGCGGAACCTGGAAAGAGCCCAGGTGTCGGGCAGCAGGAGCAGAGCAAACAGCGCAGAGCATGCACCGTGAAGGTGGAGTTCAGATCCACCCAGTGGCTGCCTGGCCTCATAATAATTCTGTTGATCAACAGGAGCCAGGAACAAAAGCACACACTTTGGCCACGCCGAGTCCTCAAACAGACCAAACTAGCCCTTGATGGTGGAGATCAGATCCACTGTCGCCTGGGGCTGGGGAAGCCGGGAGACTGAGGAACTTCAGGGGTGATGAGGGAACCCCGAGACTTTATTAAGGTGATAGTTATGAGGGTATCAATGCTTGTTGGAGGTCATCAGATGCTGCCCCGAGGGCCAGGTGAGCCGCTGCAGTATCCTTTCCTGTGTCCTCATCTTCCTCTTCCTCACCCTCCTTAGGCCCTGTCCCTGTCCCCTTCCCCCTCTCTTGCCCACCCCAGTCAACATGGACCCCTCGTTCATAGGTTGCTCTATTTCTAGTAGCAACTTCTAGGATTGAGGAAAATAGTAGGTGTTTTACAGATGGTAGGAGCCAAGTTTCAAGTGTTCAAAGAATCACAATACGCACAGAGGGGCAGCTGCCAGCAGGGTCCAGAAGTGGGGCTGAACTGGGAGGTAAGAGCAGGGTGAGGACGCTGGAGCAAAACGCTACCTGAGTGGAGGGCCGGCTCCTCACTCCGGGAGTTGGGTACACTGAGAAAGACCCAGGGGCAAAGCTAGAATTCTCAGACCTGGGTTTGTGGGCTGCAGGCTTGGACTGTGCAGAGGCCCTGAGTGACAGGGCAGGAGGGCTCTGGACTGAGAGTGGATGATAGCCCCACCTCCAGAGCATCTTGATGGAGTGCGTTGGGTAAACAGCAATTAAAACCGTTTCTTGGAAATGCAGCACCCACGAGGCAGAGCAGAAGTTGAGTCCCAAGCACTCTGACACTGCTAGGTGGGTGCTGGGTGCTGAGTCAGCCTTCTGCCACCCCACTGCTCTCTGGCAGTGGTCCCAAGCCCCATTGACACGGCAGCCTTCGAGTACCTGGCACAGAGAACCCCAACAGGCACCTACCTGGCTAGCCAGGTCTGCTAACCAGAGCAGGGTACCAGCAAGAGTCTCTGCAAGCCTCTGATGGCACCTGAGACAGAACCCAGTGCTCACAGGGAGAGGTGGGGCTTGAGATAGACAGGTGCCAGCACCAGGCTTGACTCAAGCACTGCTTGAGGAGTGTCCCTAAGCTCCCTGGTGATGGAGGTTTAGAGGATACCCCAGCTGGAGACCTCCACAGCAGCTGGAAAGGAAGAGGGAGTGGGCTGGGCTGTGCAGGCCAATGATGTGCCCAGGTATGCCTGTACCTGCTCTGGGCTCCTTTCCTCATCTGTGGAAAGGGGCACGCAGACACTTCCCTGCACAGAGACACTTAGAGGAAAATCTTGGCCATGGCTGCAGTTTGAGGCTACGACCAGTTCCTAGAGAGAGTCGTGTCTCCCAAGGGGTCACCCAGCACCTCAGTTGCCACCTGATGTGAGCACTGACTGCTCCCTCCTAGCCATCTCTCCAAGGCTGCACCATCACCGCCACCACAGTCGGCCAGGCTGGTGTCTGGGTGGGTACAGAGACAGGCACCCACCGACTCCAGAGCACACTAAGCCCAGAAGCACAGATCCCAAACACTTCCACAGACCCCGGGATTGAGGCATCTTCTCACAGAGCAGCGGTGCACCCTAACCCTCAGACATACACGTCGGAGACTTACACTACTCAGGAGTAGTTGAAAGTGTGACGGATTGCCTCCTCTCTGTGCGTGCTCAGGACCACAGTACACACACAGTACATCATCTCCCAAGCTTACCTACCCTCTGTGACCTGACATTTACCTCCTCAACATCAACTTGCCCTCCTTGCCCATTTGGAGCTCAGCCTAGAGACCCGATGGCTGGCCATCTGCCAGCTCCACTCTCATGACGGAAGTGGCCTAGCTAGAGACTCAGGCCCTGGACTCAGTCCCAAAGTTCTCCTGCCCTGTGGTCCCCAATTAGATGGTTAAGTTTGTGCCCCCCGGACGTGGCTGTTTGCAAGCTGTGGGGTGTAAGTCGTTGTTTTACAGGGTCCACTGACAACAGGGCTCTGGTGAGAGAACAGTGTGCTCCCTGGAAAGCATCAAGAGTACCAGATCCCTCTCTGCAATGGCAGGACAGGGCTGTCAAGGTGTTCCTCAGCCCAGCACAACTGCCTAATGGCCAGGGCTCCCAGAGAACACAGCTGAGTGCTGAAGCAGCTGCCTCGGAGGAGGAGGAACAAAGGACATTCTCCCCCACACTCGGCGGGAGGGCTAAAGATCCACAGTGTCCTTGTGTCCTCTGAGGTCCTGCTCAAGGACCAGACTAAAACTCCATAAAATTTTATTGAGTGAGTGGATCCAGTTGCCTGGAGGGACACAGCAGTCCCTGCTGAGCTCCCATGGCCCGCGAAAGACATCTGGTGACTTCAAGAGGGCAAACCTTGGCTTGTCAGGCTAGCTGTGAGGATCCAATGGGCAGGGAAGGCCCCCAAACAGACCAGACTGTCCCCAGCATCCTCATTTCTGCTGTACCAAATATGGATGCTAGATCAAAGTGCCCAGCTGTCATGTGACTGAGTTATGAATGTCATTACCAAAGACAGGTTTGAATTAGGGGAGTTGAGGTTGGCAGACTCTGCCCTCAACACATAGGTCTGCCTAATGTTTAGTCCTACCCAGCTGTCAATGGGCCCCTATGCTTGCACAAGGGCCTCCCATCAGCCCAAGGAACGGCTACTCAAGCCCAGAGCCCATAAGGCTGCTCAGGGAGACACGGAAACATCATGTGTCATTGTGACATGGAATAGGCTATTCCTGAATGAGGCCAAATCACACTTCACTTTCATTCCCTGGAGGCCACGGCAGCTCTGGGCAGGGGTGGCAGGCAGCTGGTGTCCAGGAAGTTCCTAGGCTACAGCTGGGCTAGAGGGAGCTGCTGGGGGAGAGGAGATGGGCACCCAGACATGGACTGGCCACCAGTCCCACTTGCCTTCTGTCTGTCTCAGCCCTAGCCCTGGGCATCAGAGCACAGCCCGCAAAGTGCCGTTTAAATATTCAAGGACTTTCAGACAGGAGACTAAAGGGCATGTGGGTGTGGGGTGGGTTAACTCTCACCCACAGATGGTGCAGGAAGGAAGTGTCTAGGCTGTGGCTTACCCCCGCTCCCAGAAGCTGGAGGGAGGGAGGTGCCTTCTCTCATTTTCCTCCTCACTGGAGCAAGACAGGCAGGAGACAGCTCCTCCCGGGGACTGCTCCTCCTGGGGACTGCTCCTCCTGGGGACTGCTCCTCCTGGGGACTGCTCCTGCCCACTGGTAAGCCACTCTGCCCTCCATGGACCTCAACCCCCCTTGCTGGGTCCCCTCCTTGCCATGTCCTCCTCAAACACCTTGACACGCCAGAGCCCCGTCACGCCCAAGGGTCATCCTGAGACCTCCTCCCAGGATCTGCCTCCCTCGGCCATTTCTAACAAAGGGCTCAGCCACCCAGGTCCTTACAGTCTCAAAACTGGGGTGGGCTCCATAGGCAGGAGGCATGGGCAGTGAGACGTGTACATATGGCACTTGGCTCTCCCATGTCCAGGGCCCATGTTCTGGGAGCTAACCCTCAGGTGGTCAAGGGAGCCACTAGAACCTACAGGGACAAGGAGAAATCAACCCTCTCACCTCACCTCGGCTTCCACACCTCCCACCCCACAAACAACCCAGCCTACTCAATTGAATTCTGTGCAGAGCCAGGATGAGTTGGGGATGCTGGTTTAGAAGGGGCCTGGTACTGCCCCCCCTGTTCTGGGCCTCAGTGTCTCAGCTCCAGGAGCACCTGACCCTGAGGACTCATGACCTGGCCTCAACGTGAGGGGAAGTCTTCCTGCAATTCTGGGATTCTGGAACGTTCCTGAGCCTTTGCTCCCGTATGGTTTGCCTGTGTGGCATCTCTCTCTCTGTAAGTCTGCATGTTTGCAGCTCTTCAGGCCTCAAAATTGGTGCAGGGGGTTTCTGTATACAGGTGTGGTCCTGTGTGTGTGTGTGTGTGTGTGTGTGTGTGTGTGTGTGTGTGTGTGTGAGAGAGAGAGAGAGAGAGAGAGAGAGAGAGAGAGGGAGAGGGAGAGGGAGAGGGAGAGAGAAAGAAAGAGAACTCTCATATGCAAGTGCATAAGCACATGTATTACATTCCAGAACGCATGTGTGTGTATATGCACGTGTAACTGTTACATGTTCATGTGCACACACCTGTATGATCACATTTGTCATTTGTGTGAGCACACAGCCTGTGTATGGTGTGTGGGGTGCGGGCAAAGGGGGAACACATCCGTTCCCAATGGCTACATAACAAGCCGCCATCACCTGATGGCTTAAACGGCGTCCATTTCTGCTTTCCAGGTTAGGACGGAGGCACTGGCCTCTGCCTAGTGTCTCATGCATGGTGGGTGTGCACCCTACTGTCTGGGCTGGGCCTCTAGAGACTTCCCCTCAGGGCGTTCAGGTGGGTGGCAGATTCGATCCCTGGAGGCTGCTAGCCTGTCATGCTTCCTTTCCCTGGATGCTCAGGACACCTGGCCCATTGTGCTCAGGTCTCCGCCTCTTTCTCCTAATGTTTGGAGACAGCAGCCGTGACTGGGGACAAGTCCACTTGGCACCTCAGATCTCAGCTCCTCTGTGGCCCTGGAATAAATGAAGACCAGCCAAGACCTGTTGGGGCAAAGCCCTTCCAAGATCCCCCCTCTCCTACTCCACGCTCCCTCTTCCACCTAGCTTCCCATGCCTCAGTTTCCCCAGCTGTAAAATGAGGAATACAGTACCCAGCTAGCTCACAGGAAGTTGAGAGTCACCTGGCATGTGTGAGGCTGACAGCCCGGCCCCAGGAAGGAGCTAAATGGGCTTCCCATGGTCATCCATGATATATGTGGAATCCAGCCACATACTGGAATCCAGGTCACTGAGGTTTCCAGGCCACACAAAGTCCCTCCAGCTCTGTGGAGCGAGGGCTGCACCCTGTGTCACTATACAAGTAACTGAACAGCCAAAAACCACTGCCTGCCTGCAGGCCATGTGGTGCCTTCTTCAGGCTATGACCATGGATTCAGTTCCTCATGACCCTGAATGCCCCCATGAGGGCACACTTCCTTCACACCCACCCCCAAAGCCCTCCTCCTACAGGAAGTTCTCCACAAGGCATCTGTTCTGTTCCTCCTAGACTGGTCATTGGGTTAGTTGAGGGTGGGCCAACCTTTAAGCTAGGGTGGAGCTGTGGGCTTGGGTGAAGGAAGAGGAGACCAAAGGCCGCCATGAGGGCCTAGCGTCCTCTTCTCCAGCCTTCTTTTCCTTGTCCATAGCCTACGGTAATTGTGCCATGAAGTCACCTGTGGAGTTAGAGAAGACAGCGTGGGCAACGGCTCACGGGGCTCTGAGGAGTCCTTTTGCTCTCCCTGTGTGCTTAAGGCCTCTCCTCCCTCCCGAGGTCAAGAACAAGCTTGGACCATGAGCTCCTCTGCATGAGGTGGTCACCTAGAAACCCCAAGAGGAATCCTGACAGAGCCACCACACGGATGGAAATGTAGCTCACTCCTACCCTGCTGTGGCCTCAGAATCTTCTAGTGTGACCACCCAGTCCCACCCTCTCACCAAGCCCTGGCAGTCCATCTGCAGGATGGGACCCACTCCAGGGTCAGGGAGCGGAAGTCAAGGTGTGCTGGGTGGATTCACATTGCCTGTCTCAACAAGGCCCTGGGTGCGGCTAAAGCCTGGCAGACAGATTCCCAAGCATTGTCTTGTTGGTTTCTGCCGATGAGCACCAAGCCCATGTTTATATGCAGATTTCAAATACCCATAAAAGCAGCTGGCATGGTGCTGTCAGCCTCCCTTCCTCCTGGCCAGCTGAACAAAGACCAGCAGTCACCCTGGGCCTTTTCTCTCCCCTGCACACAAAACCACTTTAACACAGTCCTTTAGACAGTTGAGTTCTGTAGAAACACTGCCAGGCAAGCTCATGAAGCTCCCACATTGTCCATCCTGCTTCCCCATGTTGGTGTCTCAGCTGTACGTTCCCACGTTGTTAACCAAGTCCATGGTTCATTCAGATTCTCTAGTTTTCCCTGAGGTCTATTTTCTGTTCCAGGATCCTGTCTAGGTGGCATTTGGTCATCCCATCCTTTCAGACACTTCTTGTTGTGACAGCCTCGGCTTGTCTTGCTCACTGTGCTTGCAGGGCGACCTTCCACTGGGGTGTGCTGTTGGACCAGGGTGGTGGTGTGGGAGGCAGCCCTCTGAGGCAAGTGTCTGCCACGGTTACCTTCACCATCAAGTCGATTAGATCTGGAATCCCAAAGGAGACACACCTCTGGGCATGTACGCAGGAGGGTTCCAGAGAGGCCTAATTGAAGAGGGAGGGAATAGCTCTGGGTGTGGGCATCAGCATCCCATGGACTGGGACTCTGGATTGAAGAAAAAAGAAAAAAGAAGGCAGGCTGAGCATCAGCGTCCATCTCTCTCTGCTTCCTGACTGCAGACACAGTGTGACAGCCACCTCACACCCCTGCCACCATGCCTTCCCTGCCATGATGGACCACACCCCCAAACCTGAGCCAAATACACATCCCCTCCTATAACTTGCTTTTTGTCAAGTATTTGGTCACAGCAAGAAAAGTAACCACTGAAGTGTGGCTCTCATCATGGCCACACACCGTCAGCAGCACAGTGTATAACGTGGGGGACGTGTCTACATCATCAAGTTTCAGGAAACTCAATTTGACCAACAGTAAGTTTTCACATTAGCACATTCGGGCGACCCCACCCAGGTGGAGTCGGGCATTCCTGGCCCGGATGTCCCTTTTATTCCTGGCTGTAGTAACTACGCCAGCTCACTCTGCTAGCTGGTTCCTGCCTATCCGCTTGTGGGATCTGTAATCTCTGGGTCTTGTGAGCTCCCCTGCCTCGCTGCATGGTGTGGTTCCTGTATTCCTTCCGCTCAGTGTTTGTGAGTGCACATCTCAGATGCCAGCTCCAGCACAGAGGTGTCTGGGCTCTAGTAGGGCGATGTTGGACTTTGGAAGACAGAACTTCTCAACATAGCTCTGTGGGGTTCCCATCTTCTCCCAGGGGGTGTGGTGGTTGCTGTCTTGCCATTCTTAGAACAGTGGGGTGGTTGTACCACAAGCTTTTCTTTTCACAGCAAGGACTTGAAGTTTGGTGGACTGAACGAATGTGTGGGTATCTCGAATGAATATGGGGTATCACATTGCCCCACTAAGGAATGGCCTGCTGAGGATCATGGGCCAGCTTTGGGTGAATACATGTCCCCAGGAGGACGGGAGCCCCAATAGCAGAGTAGGAAGCCACTTTCTAACCTCTGCTCAGTCTTAGGAAGGGCAAGAGCCTGCTGGCTGGACCTTCTGCCTAGACAGCTCTCCCAGTCTGAGGGATTCCCCAGCAACCTGAGTAGTGGTGATGCTGAGCAGAGGGGTGCAGCCTATGGGCTCCAGCTCCTCCCATGGCTGCTGAGGAGTTCTTACCATACAGCCTGTAGTGGTGGTTTGAAAGAAAATGACTCCCAGAAGGAATGTCGCTATTTAGGAGGTGTGGCTTTGTTGGAGTAGGTGTGGCCTTGTTGGAGGAAGTGTATCACTGTGGGCACGGACTTTGAGGTCTTCTATGCTCAAGCTATGCCCAGTGACAGTTTCACTTCCTGTGGCCTGCAGATCAAGCTGTAGAGCTCTCAGCTCCTTCTCTGGCACCATGTCTGTCTGAATGCTGCCATGTCCTGCTATGATGATAATGGACTGAACCTCTGAAACTGTAAGCAAGCCACCTCAATTAAATGTTTCCCTTTATAAGAGTTGCCGTGGTTATGGTGTCTCTTCACAGCAATAGAGAGCCTAACTAAGACACTTGTCCTGGTTGATTTTCTTGCCAATCACGGAGTGCACCTGACAATCTCAGCCAATCCCCTGTGGGAGTAGCTCTGCCCTGTGGGTCCGGGAGCCTCTTCCCCTGGTCTGGGAGTCCTGGCTAGTGTAGCCAGGACCTGTTCCTCCGAAGCATGGCCCCTGACCACAGTCACTCCTTAGAGAGCCCAGTCCAGGCCCAGGATCATGATGACATGATCACATCAGCCATTTCTCAGGCATGATCCCTCTTCCATGGAGCTGGCATCCAGCCACCTGGATCTTAGCAAACTCCAGAGAAGCCAAGCACTCCCCCAGATGTGCACACACACCTGCTGGTAACACCGTGGAGGAGGCACCTTCAACCTCATTTTCTCAGAGACCCCAGGGTCAGGTGGAGACCAAGCCTGACACCACAGCTAGAACATGGCCTGACTGAGCTCCTACTGTCCAGGCTCAAACCCAGGCAGTCTGCCGATGCTGGAAGATGGGTTACAAGTCTGGGGAAAGCTTGACTTGAATCTGAAATCAAGGCCCAAAGCTGGCATCCTGTACCCATGGGGCCAGTGTGGTTAGGACAGAAGGAAGGCTGGGGTCCGGCTGGGTGCCCAGTACGGCAGAAGCATAAGGCTCTTGATACCTCCAATGGGGATGTAGGAGGCTCTCGCTGTCTTGAGTTCAGAGCCTTTGCTCTGTCCAGCAGACCCTGAAAGACCCACTTGGGGGCTCCTCAATTCAGAGGGAGCAGATAAGGGCTGATGGCTGGGGCTGGAGGGCCGAGGGCTGAAGAACTAAGTGGGAATAGGGGATATGGGGCCTGGAGGCTGGGGCCATGGGAGCTGAGTCTTGTGGCTGGGGGGAGTACATCTGAGTGGAGTTCTTACCGCAGGAAGGTGTCAGGGAGAGCCAGTCCTGACCCTAATCTGGTGAGAGCTGTGAGCACGCGTGTGAATGGGAGTCTGTAAGAGTGTGGCAGTTTCTGGTGGCCTGACACAAGGGAACATGTGCCTGGCATGTTTTCTCCTGAGTAGCTTGCTCTTTATCTGGGGCCTGCCACTGCCTGCTTTGAGGAGGTGAGGGTGGGAGGTGAGCACAACTTCAGTCATGGCCGCCACAAGATTGGCAGGCCTTGGTGGGCTTCTGTAACAAACTCCGATGATCTGGTGGTCTCAGGGGCCTTCGAGGCACTCAGCAGACAGAGCATTGGAGTAGGAGCAGCAGAGGACAGAGGTGGGCCCGCTTACCCATCAGTCAGGGAGACCATCAACTAGGAGCCACTGCCCTGCAGGTTACCTCCCACCCTAACCTGTAACTTGGTTTCTTGAACAAATGTCCTGGGTCTCAGGGTGTAATATCTCCCATCCATCCAACTGGCTAGTCTTGGGACAGAAGTCACCACCATCAGCTGCCTGGTGGGCCCCTTTGGACCCCTCTTTCTGCCTCAGGACCTGCCTGCCTGGGTGGTGACATGTGGGTCCCCTGCACAGCATCACAGCTCCTGTACAATCAACACCACGAAGGCTCTCATTACAGGGCACCTTATTATGTAGCCAAGACTGGGGAGGTGGCACCAGCCTGCCTGTCTGGCCAGCCTGAGCATTAGCATAAATGGACTCTGTGCATAATGAGGAGACAAGAGATCCCACGGCTGAGGAGAAAGAGCAGGCAGCGATTCCCAAGGGTGGGAAAGCTTAGGTTATCCTGACCAGACTGTGGCATGGGGAGGGAGGACTAAGCCTGAAGCCTCGATCTTAGCTTATCTCCAGTTCAGGGTTAAATATTGTCCTCCTAAAGACCCAGATGACGACATTCTAAAATATTGTCTCCTCAGAGTGTGACCTTACAGGAAAACAGGCTCATTGCAGATGGAGCTAGCTATGTTAAACTACAACAAAGACATAGAGAACAGGGTAGCTGTCCCCATGTGATGGCACTGCTGTGGGCAGGGAGTCTTGACAGGGACGTGCCTGGGAGGGATGCTGCGGGAAACATCCCATCGGAAGTCAAGGCTTGGGGAAATGTTTCTACAAGCTGAGAGACGCCAAAGATCGATGGCAATGAGGCTAGAGGCTCAGACAGATTGTCCCTCATCGCTTCAGAAGGAGTCACTTCCCCCTTGACCTCGCACCTCTCTCTCCCAGATAAAATACATTGCTGTGGCTCAAACCACCCTAACTCAGTGCTTGGCCGTGTGGTCCCAGGACATAAGCACGACAAACATGGAAAGTGAGCGGTGGGATTCTAAGCAGTGTTATTTAGATTTGCACACTGCTCCACCCCTATCTGATGACACTGGGTTTCAGTGACAGATGGGAAGAGATTTCATTCACAACACTCAAAAATCCACGACGGGACTGGGCTAGGATCCTACCTTCCTTTTCCTTCCCCTTCCTCAAGCCCCTTCCTACCTTTCACTTGCCCAGAAGGACTGCTCCCCATTTCCCGGGGGAAGTGCTGAGTCCAGCAACCCAGACTGACAGGGAGACAGCCCAACCTTGCAATGGCTGAAGAGCCCAGGCAATCAGCACAGGCCAGGCAGCCATGGCGATGGCTGACGGACAGGTGGGTGAGAGCGCTCCCCGGAGAAGGGCCTCCATAGGGTGGAGGGTGAGCATGAGCTGAGCGGGCTGGGCCAGGTGCTAGGGGCTGGATGCAGAAGCAGCACCTGGAGATGGAGGCCTGGAACTCCCATGGACCAGCCAGTGGTGGTCAGGTAGCAGAATGACAATAGCTGGCCATACTTGCTGTCTACCATGGAGACTCCAGACACAGCCCCAGCCATGAGGCCAGGCACCGCACATGGCCCAGCATAGCACCCCAGCTCAGGCTCCTGCCATACCGAATGCCCAAGGAGACCTGCCATTCAGGTTTTAATTACAGAAAACAGGCCACATTATCAACAGCTTGCTTCACATGAAAACGAGGAACCATTTGCTGAATCCCATCCCACTAAGCATAGCCTGGAGCCATCAATACCCTGGGAATCCACTCAGGCTGCAAATGGGGCCTTTCTGCTCTCCACAAAGGCCTGTCCTCACCAAGAAGCTTTTTCATCTCCGTGTGCACGTCTCTGGGAGAAATGGCAGTTTAAATGCAATGTAAAGTGGGTTCTATTGTCCCCTGCTTTTTCCTGACAGGCTGGAGCCGTGGCCCCTGAGCTCTGCTCTGCCCTCCATATCCAGCCTGCTCTTTCCAGGAGTGTGAAACACCCTCTGCAGACCCCAGGAGCCAGGCAGCTGCTGGACCACCTGCTGCTGGCCCAGGCTGGGGTGTGGCTAGGCTCCTGGCCAAAGAGGAATGGCCTGCTGTAGCTTGGGGATGGTTGTCCTCCAACATTTATTTCCTGGGAGTATGGTCCCCAGTGTGGAGAGCTGGGAGGTGATGGAACCTCTAAGAAGTGTGCCCAGTGACCAGGGTCCTCGAAAGGGACCAGTTGGGTTCTCCTGTGGCCCTTGAGAGTTCTTGAGAAAGGGCTGCTTTAGAGCGCGTGTACTCTGTCCTCTCTTTTCCTCCCCCAATTGCCCTACCCCTCTCTTCCTCTCCCTTCCCCCCCAACTCTCCTCCCGCACTGTCTCGTCATGTGATGTCTGCCCCTTGCACACACAGCACTGACAAGCCATCCATATGCCACAGGGTCCCCATCAGAGTTGGAGATAAAGCCAGCCTTTTGCCTTTGAACCCCCAGAGCTGTGAGCTACTCTCCTTTCTTCATAAAGTCTCCCTCCGTCCTTGGGCATTTTGTTACAGGAACAGGAACTCGACTAAAATGAAGTCCCACCTGAGAGCTGCCGTGTGAGGCCCGTGCTGGAAGCTGTCCTTTCTCAGAAATCCCTGATGGCTCTGGACAAACGCCTCCTTCTTCAGTGCTCAGCTTTCCTCAGCTACCTCACCAACTCTGGGGAAAGGCAGGTCGATGCAGGGCCCAGTGTCCAACCAGCCTCCTTGGAGCCTCCTGGGAACTGCTTACACACCCTGGGTTTGGCACAACTTGACACAAAGGTTGAAAGATCAGGCAAGACTACGGACATTCTGGGAGTCAGGCATGTCTGGGGTCCCAAGATGACACAAGCCACAAACTGTGTGGCTCCAGGGAGATGGACTCTTGGAACCCTGTTTCCTCTTTCAAAAGCAGGGACAGGACTTGTCTGTCTCTGTCTGGGACACACATAGGGCCAACTCTGCATTCTGGAAGCATCTGAGAATGGCTGTGGAATGAATGAATGAATGAATGAATGAATGAGATGGGCAACAGGAGGGTGAAGGAAGAGAGCCCTCCCTGTCTGTCTCCTACTGCCCTCCTAGAGGACCGGACAGGACAGGACAGGAGGAGGTGCAGACCAGGAAATGACCCGACATAGCGTCTTGGTGAGGGCTGCTCGCACACCACTTGCGTGGATAAGTGAATTTGGGTGATTGCTATTCAGGAATCACACACGACCTGCAGGACCAGGAATGAAACTAACCGCCACGGACCCCCTTCTGCTGAGATCAGCACGCTAGTATCCAGCCAAACGACAAGGAACCCAGTCACTGGCTTGATGCAATTATTTGTCTGTCTGTAGTGTGAGCCCTCACCTGATGTAAGATCCCCGGCCCTAACCTCCTGCTAGCCAACAGGGTGGGAGGGGGGTGTATCCACCCTAGGGCCTGGGGCAAAGGGCTGCTCATTAGCCCTTGCCAGCCTATGCCCACACCACAAAGTTGACACAGTTCTTCAGGACCTTGGTCAGTTCTTGAGAAAGTGCTGTTGTGAAAGAGCAGACTTCAGTTAAGGAAAAGGAGGCCCAGCCCCTAACTTGTCTCAGGGCATCTCTAATAGGAACTAGCGATTCTGACCTGAATTCTGGCCCAGACCCAGACACTGAGCCAAGAAAATCCTCTAGGGGCAGATACACCATGCCTCGCTTCTCCAGGGTACCTCAATTCCTCAGGGTATCTCGTCTCCTTGTGT